TTCTGTGCGGGCTCTCCATAGTGCAACATGCTTTTTTCTCTCTCTACCTCATCTGCAGCTAGGATGTTTTTCCTTCTTCAAGAAGTGGAATTCTTTGGGAATACCTTACAATTTCACGAGCTAGCTGTTTCTTATATTTCGAGGAGGTTTCAATGAAATTGTTTATAGATGTCACCTATTGCAGATGGGGAAAAAGTCTATACTGGATCGATGGAGACATCTCATCCCAGATAGGTCACGTTATATTTTTTCCCTACACCTAAATAAATTGGACATGAGCCATCCTTTTGTGTTTTCCATCCAACAAAGATGGACTCTGGAGACCCTTTTGGTTTTTTACTCTTCGCGAACCGAGACGAGCCGCAGCGACACTTTGCGTTTTCTCTGAGCGCAATACCTGGATCACGTTGAGCAGCCTTTTTGTTTCCTATCTATCTCACCCAGATAGGGTCATGTTGTATTTTTGTCCCTTCATGCACCTAGCCAATTTTGGACATGAGCCATCCTTTTGTTTTTCTTTTTCCATCGAACCAAGATGGACTCTGGAGACAATTTTGTTTCTCAACGGAAAAGTAAATTTTCTGAATGGGTGCCGGTGTTCGAATACTTTTGTGACCGACTGTACAGTTAACGGACACACCCACTGATTCCATAAATGATAACTCTTTTACTAATCTTATTTCTTCTATTTCTAGTGATGAGCATTCAAATTCTAATGACTCTTCAAATGACTCTAGTAACATCATGCAAGGTGCTAAAGTGTCAAGATTTGGACGTGCGATCAAGGTGCCTCAGAGATTAGATCTCTTCGACCAGGTACTGTATGTCTTTGAGCCAACCTGAAGTCGAGTCAAAGAGGGGGAGAATGTTGGAGACGGCTGCTGCCAACACCTCCTAGAACTAACTCAAGGCCACGGCGCGTTTCCCAGGAGGTGGTGTGACGTCAGTATCAGTAGGGATTGCATTTCATTTAACTCTCCCCACCCAGGAATGTGGTGGGTGGATTTCCGGAGTTTTGACGGTCACTCGGTCAGAAGTCGTCCATAAGAACAGTCGACATTTTCTTTCTTTTTTCAGATATTTCCATATTATAACTATTCCACTTTATTATTTGTTTTTCAAATTTTTGATATGGTTTACACATGCTGTGTACCTAACTGTAAAGGGAACTATCCAAATGGTCCTAAAGTACAGGTTTTCTCTTTTCCGAAAGAGAAAGAATTCTTAAATAAATGATTCATAGAAGCAATTGAAAATAAGCATATACATATTATCTAAAGTATTTCGAATTGTAATGTATAATTTAGTGCATCCTAAGGGCATTATATGTTAGTCATTTTATTCGGCAGTAATAATGCAATGATAATTGTGTTTTTCATTTGTTGTGTTCAATATCCCAGTTTAGGATTTGTTACATTTGCCTTCCACACGATACTGCTAAACCATATTATAAAATTTCCCTGTAAAGATCAGAGGTTAGCTGTTTATATCTATATCAGACCTCTATCAGAGGTTTGATATTTGCCATTTAAAATGCAAAATAATATTTAATTCTCTCTGTGCACCTAATGTCTCAAATAATTATGAAAACTTATTTAAATCGTTGCAAGCTTAGCTTTATTTTTTTCAAACGTGAGTATTTATTATTATCAAAGATGTTTATTAGTCAAGGCATAAATTGTTGTAAGTATAATTAATACGACCCTTGACCAATAAACATCTCTGATTAATTATATTTGTTTTCAACTAATGATTTTATGTTGCTACATGATTCCAGGTAATTTAAATCAGTTATATCTCAGTTATTATCTCAATTTTTTAGGATCTATATCCTGCCTTCATGTCTTAAATTGTTTTTCTGTTTAATTATTGCGTACAAATAAAATTCCGATTCATTAAGTGTGAAGTTTCTTTCGTTAACAAGAGTTTCTCAGCGATTAAATTTGCTAAAATCAGTAATAACCATTAATGGAATTAAAATTTTAGTTATTCGTATCGAAAACATTATAAAAATAAAAATCTCGGTTCTTCACATTCTAATGAAAGCAAGGTATTTCCTAGATTTATAAACGATGAGAATTAAATATAAAAATTTCAGTTTAATTATAAGCCTGTAAAATGGACATTTAAGAAGGCACCCTTAAAGTTGGAGAGGACGAAAGTATCCCTACTGCTGTGACGTCACGAACTGCGCGCCGTGGCCTTGAGTTAGTTCTAGGAGGTGCTGCTGCTGCAGACAGACGATTACGTAACGGTTGTGCGAAGGTCGACAGAAGGAGCGCCGCATTTGATTGGACTATTTTTTATTATTCTTATTTTTTTCTTTAACTGCAAACTAGCGGAGAAATTCCCTTTTCACTCAGTTATATGTATGCACTAGTTAGAGCAATGTAACGTTTTCAGCTTGTGTGAGATATTCATATTAAATCTTTGTATTAATAATCCCTGCTGTGATTATTTAATTTGTAACCTGCACGTTGTAGCCCTCAGAGTTGCAACAATAAGTATTTACTTCTGACTTTAATAATGATCATACGTCTGCAAGTTTCTCAATTCAATTAAAGTATCTTCATGGACAGCTTCCAAAATATGTCGGGACCAACGTCCCCGAATGGGATCATTTAAGGAAAAATTTCAATAAAAACTGCGATGCGCGTATCAATAGAATCGCAGTCTCAACAAAGCCATTAAAAACCAAATTTAGAAATTTAGGACTGAAAATATAAAGATAATATGGCTAAATTAAATTTAGAGAATGGATTATTTTGAAACTTTATGAGAATAATGAAAAGCGCTCACAGTAAAGTCATCCCATTAAAATTAACAATACTTATGGCTATTTAGATAATAATCGTAATAAAACAGATGCTTTCACTTCATACCTACAGAACCAGCTTATTCCTAATGATTTTCCTTCGAGCAGAGCTTAAATTGCGCCGGAATAATAATCATAATAAAACAGATGTTTTCATCTCATACCCACAGAACCAGCTTATTCCTAATGATTTCCCTTCGAGCAGAGCTTAAATTACGCCGGAGCTCACCGGAGCCCGGCTCCGGTACTTCTTAGCTTCAGAGGTAAATGGTGATTCTAGCCGGAGCCCTAAATGAGAGGGCTCTGGCACCTTTTATGTAAATGGAACACAATTTCAGAGGGGAAAATTTTATTTAAAAGACAAATATGAGTTAAAAGTTGATTATATCTTCCGAATGCATGCCTGTTTTTTTCTGGGGGAAAAACGCGTGGAGTTGTTAACACTTTTAAGGAAAGAAAATCCTACATCCACATGTCAAAGGCTTATTCTCCAAGTAGTGCAATGAAATTATGAGAGCGGGTAAATTGTTTTGTTCCCGAAAGCATAAAAATGACTACCTTGGTTCTCCACTTCCAGCGCTATGGGCCTCTCACTGCAGAGCTCCTGCAGACTTGAACTGTGAAAATAAATACGATGGACAAAATTTTTCACTTGCAAAGACCTTGCACTTGTGCTCATGTTGTTATCAGATAGGATTCGGAGTAAATTTTTTTCCACAATTGCATTCTGCTTGATAGCTAGAATTATATAAGCAGGGCATCGCGGCCAGAAGGCTTAAGACTCTTCTCTATTTGTTTTCGAACCTACATTCCTCCATTAAAAATCTCTTTCCATTGTGTCATATTGTTTCTATCATTCTCTCTGTTTTCATTAGTACCGCTTTAACCCTTAGCCTGTCGAGTAATTTTCTAGAACCTTAAATTCACTATTTGGCGGCTCCTTAAAGTGGAAATCCAACTCTGAAGCCATATTCTAGTCTTTGGGAAATTGGGTAAGATTTTATAAATTTACCGTAGGGCTTCAAAATGCAAAAGCTCGTTTCCTGTTGGGGTGTGTGCTTAATGCATGATATAATTAAAGAAAATAAGAGTAGACAATCTCCTATAACAAAAGAATATATTAAGTACTAAATTACAATTTAAATTACATTGCAGAGATCAACACAGAGCTCGGAACACAGTTCGTGCTAGCGTCGCGTACAGTTGTCCGACGAGAAGTCTGAGTGAGTAAAGATGTCGCTTTGCTGCTCTCCGATTAAGAACTGGATTTTACACGTGGCGCCATCTCATGAATAGAAGTTGAAGTATCTGTCGGAACGCCACAGTACTCCCCCCCAAGTACCATCGGTACGTTATAAGTACTTTGGGTTAAATTTAACCTTTCTTCCAGATCTGGTAGTTTTAGGTTGCTCTTTAACGGGATGTAAGCTTTCTTCCGGGAGTGATGTTGATGAGGAAGTTGTTGGATCTTGCATTAGAAATGCTGGTTTGAGACGATCGATTCCAATCACTGATTGTTTGCCATTGCAGATGATGGTGAAATGTTTCGGTGTTCGTTTGACAACTTTGAATGGACCATCATATGAAGGTGTTAAAGTTGGCTTAATTGCATCGTTGCGCACGAATACGTGCGAAGATGTCTCAAGCGCAGGATGTACAAAATAGCTTGGCTGGTTATGCGAAGATGCTGGGGTTGGCGAGATATTGCTCATGGTCTCACGTAAACGTTGAAGGAATGTTGGAGGGTCGATAACTGGAGTAGATTCTGGGTGAAAGAATTCACCTGGCAGACGGAGGGTTGCACCATATAACATTTCAGCACAAGTGCTACCAATGTCTTCTTTGAATGCTGTGCGAAGACCAAGCAAGACTAGGGGTAAGGCTTCTGTCCAGTGTGTGCTACTGTGGCACTTCAGACCTTGTTTGAGAGATCGGTGAAAGCGTTCCACCATCCCATTTCCAGATGGATGGTATGGTGTTGTGCGAATATGGCGAATGCCAAGAAGAGAGGTGAGGGATGCGAACAAGTGACATTGAAATTGTCGGCCTTGGTCAGTAGTGATGGTGGTAGGCATGCCAAATCTTGAAAGCCACTGGGAGATGAATGCTCGAGCTACAGTTTCAGCGGATATATTTTCAATAGGAATGGCTTCAGGCCATCTTGTGTACCGATCAATACAAGTGAGGAGGTAAGTGTAACCATTTGAAGGAGGCAATGGGCCAACCAAGTCTAAGTGCACATGATCAAAGCGTCTTGCTGGAAGGTTAAATTGTTGAATGGGGCTGTGAGTGTGACGGGATACTTTACACCGTTGACATCTAATACATGAACGAGTCCATTCTGTGATGTCTTGATTCATTGCTGGCCAGACAAATCTGTCTGCGATCAGCTTTTTGGTGGCACGGATTCCAGGATGTGCCAAATTGTGCAAGGCATTAAACACTTCACGTCTAAAATTGACAGGAATATAGGGACGTATTCTATTGTTCTCTATGTCACAGTAAATTTTAAGCGTTGGATCAATGTGCAGCGGTTGTAACTGAAGGGAGGTTTGTGGATTTGAGATTAGGTTCTTGAGTTCCTCATCATGCAATTGAGCTTTTGCAATTTCAGAGAAATCTGGGGTAGTGAGGTTGATATTGTTTACCCGAGACAAGGCATCAGCGACACAATTATCAGTACCAGAGACATATCTGATATCTGTACTAAACTGGGCGATGAAATCCAGATGTCGAAGCTGACGAGGAGAACATGAGTCAGAGTTTTTCCTAAAAGCGAAGGTTAATGGTCGATGATCGGTGAAAATGATGAAATCGTGTCCTTCCAAGTTGTGCCGGAAGTATTTAACAGCACAGTACACAGCAAGTAGCTCTCTGTCATATGTGCTGTATTTCCTTTCTGCAGTAGTGAGTTTTCTGGAAAAGAATGCCATTGGGGAAAGTCCTTTAGTGGTATGGGCTTGAAGCACTGCTCAAGTGTGGCTGCATTTGCCAGATCGTG